CCCGGCAGTTCCCTATTGTGATGGCAATGGTAGGAAATCTTGGGTCTTTGAACTTTGGCAGTGTGTTGGTCCTCAAGATTGAGCTCACTTGTTCGATGAGGAATGTCTTCTTGTGCACATTCAACTTTCTTTTTACGGTGCACAAATCCTTCAAAATCTTGGCACATGAGGGAATTTGCTTTATGACATCTAGAAGCGGGATGTTGATCTTAACCTACTTGAACATCTCAATAATGTCAAAATAGTTAGCCACCTTCACGGGTGGCTTCAAACGATTGGGAAAAGGGGCCAGAATGGGACATGCATGCACATTTACATTAACAATTTTTTCTTTCTCACTCACCACACCCCTCTCGGAGTCACCCTTAGTCCCATTTTCTTTTGTCAATGTGGCATTGGGTGAGACTTTTGGCGCAATGGTCTTGTCAATTTGTTTGTCACTCCTTAGGATAGTGACCGCCTTGAGTTGCTCACAACTCTCCTTTATGGGTTTGGATGACTTAATCACATGTTGGCCCCTAGGGTTTTCTTGAGGTTGAGTAAGAAATTTCCCTTTCTCTTTTTGGGACGACCTTATGGCATTGGTTAATTTTGCGATTTGATTGTTGATGGTGTTTTAGCTTTGGATGAATTGGTGCATGTCATCCTCCAAATTTCTTTTATGAGGTGTGTGGGTTGGATGGTCGTTGTTGACCAAAACTTTGTAGAGACACATTTTGTGAAAACCCTTGTGGATTGGACTAGGAGTATTGAGAGCTAGATAATTGACCTTGGCCATGGTATTAGTTTTGCTTAGGAGGCATGGGAGGTGAATATGAACAAGACCCGTGAGGAGTGAGATTCTCATTCTTCCAACTAAAGTTTGGGTGATTACTTCAACCCATATTGTATGTATCAGAGTGTGGGGATAATGATTGCCTACTTTGATTGAAGGCATTGACTTACTCATGGTACACATCCTTAAGTGCCCGNTGGGTGATTACTTCAACCCATATTGTATGTATCAGAGTGTGGGGATAATGATTGCCTACTTTGATTGAAGGCATTGACTTACTCATGGTACACATCCTTAAGTGCCCGAATGTTGGGGCACTCTGATATGGAATGCTCAACACTCTCACAAATAGAGCAAAACTCCTCGGTCTTGGTTATGTTGGACACCTTATGTCTCCTATTAACCTCTAGATTCTCCAATTTCTGAGACAATTTGGTGATTTTGGAAAACAAATTTTCCCGATCACTTAAATCATACATCCCTCCCCCACTTGGTTGATTACTACCCGGAGAAGACCTTGGTACATCAGTGGGATCCGTAATATCCTATGATTGTGCATTTTGGGCCAATGTATTGAAGTACTCTAGGGCCTCATCAGGATCCTTGTTTAAAAACTTTTTATTACACATCATGTCAATAAACTGTCTATGGCCCGGTGTGATCCCTTTGTAAAAGAAACTCACCAATTGCCATAGTTCCAAGCCATGGTGTATGATGGATTGTAGCAATTCCTTGTAGTGATCCCAACATTCGTAAAATTGCTCATTGGGCTTTTTCGAAAAATTTTGGATTTTCTTTTTAAGAGCGGTGGTTTTAGGCATTGAAAAAAATTTGTTCAAAAACTTGGAAAACATTTGTGCCCAAGAGTTTATTGATCGAGGCTTCAAGGAATTCAACCACAATTTGACTTTGTCTTTAAAGGAAAAGGGGAAAATTTTCATGCGAGCTTTGTCTCCCATAGCATGACTAGTGAGGAAGGTTGTAACTATTTTCTCAAACTCTTTAATATGCAAATAAGGATTTTCTATTTCAATTCCGTGGAATTGAGGAAGTAGTTGTAACATTCCTAGCCTAACTAGGAAGGCATGAGCTTGGACCGGTAAAAGAATGCATGAGGGAGTGGTGCTACGAGTGGGTTGGAGATAATCTCGCATTAACCTCGCTAGAGGATCAATTAAGATGTTGTTCCCTTCATTCCTAGGAGGGGAAATTGCATTCTAGGGTCTTACACTCCCCTACCCCGTGGAACATTAACATTGGCACCTAAATCCTTAAAATTGTCATCAGCATTCTCGGATGGGTCTTGGTCAAGATTCAGGTTGGGTCCTAGGGGTCGTCTAACCAATCTATTTTGGTCGTTCCGTCCCCACATGTAAAAACACTAACTACAATAGAAATGTAAAGCAAACAAAAATATATACACTGAGCAACATACCTCAGCTCGTGATGAGAATCACAACACTTACCTCCGTTATCCGAAATCACCTTCTAATTCAATGTTTTGCTTCCCCGATAACGGTGCCAAAAATGTTTGATTTTATTCCGTCGACCCTAATCTTCAACCATCATTCCGTTTATGTGAATGTCACTCTCCCTCAGGTGTGATGCTATAAATGGGGTGAACGTGTGTGTGGATGAAAATGTGTGTGTGTGTGTGTACAAAATTGCTCCCCAAGCGTAAAGAGACTTTCGAGTGTCGTGTTTTACTTGGAATTAAGTATTCCAAGGTCATCTCCTCAGGGAAGGAATGTTGAATTATGGTGAAGGTGATTTGGTAGAAATGAAAAGTGTAAAAATCTTGTGAATTGGTGTTTTGGTGAGTGAAGATTGGTTGTAGAAATGCAATAAAAAAAGGTTGGCTAATCCAAAGAGGTAATTCCAATGGGAATGACAAATCAACTCAATTCATTCAACTAATGGTGCCTAGGTGCTTGATTGATTCGTAGGAAGTGAGAGATTAATGTAGAATGTAGGCTCAAGCATACCCCGTGACAAGTCTACGGTGTATCAACAGCTCACAATCACGTCCACACTCAACTTAGTCAAACCAAGCACTTTACACTACAAGGTAGAATGGAGAAGAGTTGATTTAACATCCCCAAGAGGAAGTTCCCCTTGGACTAGCCAACAAAAGCTCTGCTACTCATAATTGAAGTAAAAACATTCATAATGTAAAGAGACATGTAGATGAAATGAAAATGAAAATGAGATGAGAACGAAGCTTAGAACATATATTAAAGCTAGGAAGAAGTAAACTACAAAGAAAAATTCATTTCATACCAAAATGGAAAAGTTGAAGAGCATACCCAGTAGAAAATGTGAACGTGCAAGAACAATAGAATAAACTTGATTACACTTGAAATAAAGGAGATTACAATGCAAGAAATAAAGATTAAAAGAGTCTTACAGCTCGTTACAAGTGAAATGGGTGAAGAATTTGCAAAAATCTATGCTTTCTCTCTCTAAAATTGTCTTCTACCTTGGGAGTTTCTCTCTCTAAAAGTGATGAACTATGCTCTAATGTGTAGTTTCTAGTGTAATTTTCGTCCATGGAGTATATGATCTATGCGCTGCAGAGATTCAATGATTTGAGGAGGTTTGGAAGCCTACACAAGCAAGGTGCAGGCATGTCTGCACTCTCCTGCCCCTTTGTCAACCTCTCTCATTCTCTCTCCTCTTCTTCCATGCTTCTTCTTCCAAGTCAGACCTTTGTGTAAGAAATGACATGGTTATACATGGAACATGTCAGGGTAGGTGTGGGAGAAGTGTAGGTGGGCCCCCCCAAGCAGTTGGAGTTGAGTTGCAGAGTTTAGACGTTTTTTCAGCAAAACCTACCGGTAGTTCGATGGCCAAACCTATCGGTAGGTTTTACTCCAGTAGCCAAAACTTTTCGGAAGGTTTGCGGTAGATCCAACTCCAATACACAAAACCTACCGGTAGTTTATGAGCAAATCTACCGGTAGTTTTTTACTTGTTTTTGCTCAAATCTTGGTCTTTTCACCTTCCAAGCCATAGTCAAGCTTCCCCTTCATCTCCATTGACTTTGGGCTTAATTCACATCATTTCCAACTCTTTGCCTGCAAACACACTGAAACCTCATTAATTGTTAGGAATATTGCAATTCCTCCCATTTTCACCACAAAAACAAGTATAAAAAAGGGTGAAAATGTATACATGATGTGCAATATTTTGTGCTAAGTGACGGTGTGTGAGTAAATATTGAATGCAACGATGATACCTTTTCAGTAATGCTAACGTGGTATCACAACCAATAATGTGAACCCCAATTGGGTAATGTGAACCCCACTTGGGTAATTATTTACTTACATAGAAGAAAAGTGGATAATTTGTTGCTTATATGGAGAGTTAGTTATTAATTTTAGTCGGGTCTATTTACTTATTTGTTTTGTTATTATTGATTGGTAATACCACCTTAACATTGTCATTTATTATCACCGTTATTATGAATATTTTCTCGTGGTGGGGGATGTCCGACAATCTTTTGAAAATATCCCTTCCTATACTTTCTATTTTAGTAGGGGAGACGGGAAAATTAATATATGGCCTTCTTCCATTCTAACTGTTTATGTTTTTGTCAGTGTGGGAGCAAGACAAGCATCTTCATCATCCAACACATTAGACCCTTCTTATTTAAATAATTCAAAAAAAAAGCAACATTCACATAGATCCCCCGAATTATGGCTCATGTTTCTGTTTGGCATATTTTCGGATTACGGATGTGCCAAAATTCAAAAAATTCAAAAACTCTTATAACCTTATCTATTCGAATCAGAGCAAGATTCTAAAATCGTAACTGTTTAGGCGATTGTAACAAAGTGCAAGACTACCTCTAGACTCTTTTCTTTGTGTAGCAGATCAATGACTTAAATAATTTTGGGTTAATTACTTTTTTCCCCCGTGGTTTTGGCTAAATAATTTTGAGTACTGGAGTATGCTTTTACTTGGCTACATACAGGTTTGAAGTTAATGTATTACATTCTCTGACTTTGGGAATGTTAACTGTCTCACTAATCTCTTAGTCTCCCACATTATAAAGTATTTGTTACAGAGATTTTGTTATATGACAGTTTTCTTGCTTTGATTTGGTTTTTGTTGGTCTTTTCAATATGGTGCATTCAGTCAGCATGCTAGACACCCCGCCCCGGGGGTTGCAGGTAGGAGCTGCAGAAAATTTATACTTTTTTTTCCGTGTAAAATGTTGATTCTTGACATTTGAAGGATGTGCTTTGCATAATCCCCTAATGCTATAAGATTTTCCTTCCTTTTTTTCCCCTCATAAATACATGATCTTTATTCAGCAAAAGAAGTATACAAAGGAGAAAAGTATACATCAATCATTAATTGGCTGAGTTATTGTTATAATAAACACTTTATCTATTGTGTCATTCAATCAGTACACCAGTCTTTTGAACTCTGTTTACAGCTTTTCTGGCCTGAAAAGAGACAGAAATTGTTAGAAGTACATTGCTCAAGAGAATAAGTATGTTTGAAATTTAAAAATAAAGTTTCCGATAGAGTAGAAAGAATTTGTTAAAGCGATGGTACAAACATTTCCATAGCATGAAAAATTATACTGATGGGAACAAGAAAATTATTGTAGGTGGATAAAAAGGTGTTCAAATGTGACAATGAGTTATAAGTTACAAAAATAGACTAACTGAACGTGGGATAAATATGTGTATATTAGACTAACTAAACTTGGTGCCTAAAATTGCCATTTTTTTTTTTAACAAAAGTAGTATTTTGGGGGCAACACGAAATCATTTTTTGTTCATCTCTAGTAAATTAACAGTTGTTTGATTCGATTATTCCCATAAGCTTGATTCAATTATGCCAATAAAATGTAGATCTCAGAATAACAATATGACTCACCTCAGTATCCCAGTTGGTGCACAGATTTATGGTAATGAGTGCTACAACTTGTACACAGAGTCCACAAATGATTCCCATCCAAAGTCCCTGTTTGCTAACAAGTTAGAGAAATTCAGTGGCACTTTATCTATTGTGTGTGTGTGTGTGAGAGAGAGAGAGAGTCCCACCATTCCTCCAATATGGAAGAAGAAAGCAAAGAGGACAGCACAAGGAATTGCTACAACATAATAAGCACCAAGATTAATGAATGCACACAGATTTTGCCATCCACATCCTCTGGCAGCCCCTGAAATCCCAATATTCAATAATTTTGTTCTTTAAGAGCATTTTATAAGCACTCCATATATTTAATAAAACTATGAGTGTCGAGATTTAGTATGCTCAGACTCGGCTCAAGTTGATTATCACTAATTCAAGCTCAACTGGAACTTAGTTGCCGAGCTTGGATTATTCTGTTTTTTTGTTACAAGTTAGTCTAATTTTCTAGATCATATGCTCAGTTTTAGCTTGAATCATATTCTTTTCGTAGTACGGGACTGAATTTGAGCTCAGGATCGAGTAAATCCAAAAAACACATAACTTGATTAACAAGCATCCTTAACAACTAAATAAAATTCACTACTTCATTTTTTTCGAGTCTACCAACTTGATTACAAAATTAGCTTAAAAGTATTGATCATATTCAATTTCGAATCTAAATAATAGACATGCACGAACCAAAATCGAGCCAACTCAAATAACTTAGTTTGTTTTATGTACTTGAACACACCCTATGCAAATGCTTATAATTGCAAGAAACTATAACCTGAAAGTACGCATTGAAATCCATCCAAGAAGTCAGACAATGCAAGCAGAGGCATCATCTTGGCAACATATGTGATTACTTCTTCTTCATTGCTGTACAGTCTTCCCCAGAGATGGCGAAACGCAATGGTAATTGCTGCAACTATTGCACCTTCTGAGATGGCCACTATAGTCATTACACATACAGCTAAACGAGCACTTTGTGGATGCCCACCACCCAATTCATTTGAAACTCTCGTACTATTGCAACAAGAAACAAATTTTATTAGAGGGAAAAGCTATGGTACCGACTGTTGTATTATACCGGAAATTATAAATTTTTATGGTTAAACAAACACATGATCATGTTTGTTCCTGTCTCATATTCAATATATGGATAGGTCTACCAGGTTCGACGACAATGGGCCAGTTGTCGGAGTGGAACCAAGACAACTAGCCATCTAGCGGGATTAGGAGAGCCGCACGTGCTTTGGAGAATTGCCCTAATTAGGGTTGTAGCCTATATATTTTATGTTGTAACCTTATTTCAGTGTGAAATAAAAACAAGACAATTGTTTTCTTATAAATATATACAAATTGCCGAATCATGTAAAACATTTTGTGTTCATCTTCTATTTTTTCTCTTTCTTTGATTGTTCATCACACACAAATCACAACAGTCCCCTTTCCCTATATAGTGCCTGACCAAAAAAAAAAAAAAAACAACTAACCTTATAGCGCCACCAAGCCCGACAGAGATCATATATACCATCCAACATGTGTTGAGGCTGCAAAAAATTGAGGAATAAATCAACTCAAGGCAATCTTTCACCAATAATAAATGTTAAAAAAACATAACAATTTTAACAATTTCTGCTTAAAATCTTCATGAAAATACAGACCTTATTGATAATACTGATGTCTCTAGTTTTGGGTTGGGAAGAAGACCCGATAGAAGAACAACCATCTCAAATGACCAATATTCCAAGCTGCACCTCAAACCAATCAGAAAATAATCAACAGGTGTGTCACCAATGTGAGTTAACCCGAACTCAATACTTGAATTGGATTTGGACAAACAAATTCAACCTCAGTCTAAGTTCGTGTAGTACTCAAGTTAAGTACTGAGTTCTCAAGGCCAACTTGAACTGGACTTGAAATCTAACTCAAATTGTGTAGCTCAAGAATTGAACAACTAACTAAAGAAAGAAATTTTTTACCACTAACTAAACAATGGGGGTGCCACTAGTATGGGTTAACCTGAACCCAATACTTAGATAGGGTGTGGACAAAAAAATTCAATTCCATTCAAGTTCGTTTAATACTCAGGTTGAGTCCTGATTTCTCGAATTGAATTGCATTCAACAAGAATTTTGGCCCAATAGATAAATTCAAATTTTAGCCCAAATTACATAACCTGATTACAATTCAAGTTAAGAAATTTAAGCATTGTTAACATTCGAACTAATGTATTTGACTTGAATTCGGGTGCAAAATGAACTTTTGTCGAGAATTTGAGCCAGAGTTGATCTTTAAGTTTTAACCGCCCAAACCCGAGTTTGCACCTTTAATCATGATAACCAATAGAGTCAAAAACTAAACATACCATATCATTATTGCTGAAGGAATGGCAAGCTTTAAAAAGCTGAGAACTTCATGATAGGCTTCCTCTGAAAAACCAGTCCAAGTCTTCATGCAAATTGGAGAGAACTTAACATAAGCCATAAAAAAAATCACATTAACCCAGTTCGAGATGGCATTTGCCAAGGCAGCTCCTTTGCTTCCAAGTCCAAACCCAAACACAAGAACCCAACAAACAAAAATGTGGAACAAAGCTGTGATCCCAGAGGATATCATCATAGGAATCACAATGTTCTGTGTCTGTAAAAACCTGTTGAGACATTGGAGGAGGCCGTAGGCAAATAGGCTCGGGATCATCCACCGATTAAACTTGCCCGCCTCGATCGATATTTCATGATCTTGGCCAAGAGAGATGAGGATGGTGCTGGTGTAAAACCAGATGAAAGCAAGAGGGATGCTTAACACTGTGAGAATGAGCATTGCTCTTTGTGTGTACACACCAAGCATGTGGTATTGTTTGGCTCCATAGGCTTGCCCACATAGCGTTTCCAATGCACTTCCCATTCCTAGCTATCATTTGCAAAAATCGTAATGTTAAGAAATGCTTGATGCCCTAAAGCTTTGGAACAAAATTTGAGTTCCAACTCTATATGAGTCTAGCAGAAAATGCCATAACTAGTTATGAACAAAGACGAGTTGTAAACTCAAACGTCTTGAGTTTGAATATTAATAACTATTTGGGGGTAAGCCATGAGGGATTTATCTTTCATGAATATCTTAGTCTTAGCGTAGATGTCCTACTTTTGATTAGACCAAGGAGGGGATTAGTTGTTGTGTGCGTAAATTGACTTGAACACTCATGACAGATAAACAAAAAGAAAAGAAAATGACTCGTGTCATGAACAATACTGCATGAACTTAAAAAATAGACTTAAAAATCAGAATTGATAATTACAACCATTGATTTCACTGTAGGTCCCAACATTTATTAGAATCCACAACTTATTCAATGATTGAGATTATCACGTCTAATTTTTAAATTTATCTAACATTACCCCTCATAGGCCAGGGTTTGCCTCTGACCTTTGAGAATTTCTGGAAGGACTCCCTCTAACCCAGGGTAAAGTCCTACGAAAAAAAAGAAAAAAATTACTCCTCATGTCATATATGTTTACATCATAGCTTGTCAAAATTTACTCAACTTGCACCACACTTAACTTATGTAGAAACGTGTATAGTCAGGTTTGTGTTATATAGAAGTTGGGTTTGGCGAGTCTATATTATATTAAGCTTAAAGATATTGATATTATTAGTTTGTACAAGACTTACCCATCACCAGCATGTAAGTGGGCAATGACAATTAAAATGAAAAATAATAAATATGAAAGAGACCTAGACCTTACATTACAAAATTGGCCAGCATTAAGTTTAATCATATAAGGTACCACTAGAAGACACCAGCCCAACCACTCCAAAAAGGAGCCAAGCCTGACTAATCCTTGCTTTCTTTGTTTAAGCTCGTAAACATATATAGTGTATAGCACTTTATACAAGATGTATTAGATGGAAAATTAAACAAACAATGGTTGAATTAGATATTTAAAGCTCGTCAAAGCACACAGGAAGTTGAGAATCCAACCAAATTTTGAAGAGAAATGACTTACCAGTACGCTGAAACCAGTGACTGAAGCAAATGAAGTGGCCATGGAAGCACCAGAGAGAGGCAATTCTCCGAGATGGCCGACGAACATGATTGAAATCACCTGTAAAGAATACTGCAGCAAGCTAACTGCTATAAGAGGCAGGGCTAGGCCTAGCTGTTTCTTCACTTCTTCAACTACCTCTTCTCTGTAATAACCTTCTTGTTGATGAACCTCTCCACTAAAACCATGGCTTCTTTCTTGGTTTAGAACCAGAGGAGACTGGAGAACTGATATCTGGTCTTCTTCCATTCTAACTGTTTGTGTTTTTTGTCAATGTGGGAGGAGGAAGACATCCAACACATTATTTGCCCCCTTGTTATTTATATAATTCAAAAGAAAGAGACATTCACGTAGATCCCCCGAATTATGCCTCCCGTTTCACATTTCCCCCTAAGCTTTTTGTTTTCTTGTATTGTAATTTAAACTATTGGTCTGAGTTTCACACTGTATTAATAATTAACTATTGTCCAATTTTTTTCACGAAAAATCAAGACAAAGTATGAAATTCCACAACCTCAGGAGAACAGATCCTTCTTTTCTCTACAGGACAGTTTATTTTTACCTTGATTTGCAATAAAAAATGGGACATAACTAAGGAATGGAATAATGTGAAACTCAAACTAATATTTAGAATGTAATGTCAAAAGTGAATAGTTGGGTGTAATATGAAATAAAGATATAGTTTAGGTGGTTCTAAATGTCATTTTTTGTTGTATTAATGATAGGACAATGATCTGTCAGATGTCAATCCAATTATTTTAGGGAGGTGGTTCCCACTATATGATATGACGTTGATGATCTACTTAATTTATTATAATTATTGAATTAATCATGAATTATTTTAAACATTGAAAATTGATGTTAATCTAATTATTACAATGAAATTACATTATTAAGTCAACAAATTATATCAAATTTTTAGGTTACAATAAAATTGCTCGTTACCTTATGAGTCCATCTTTTTGCTGTTAGGGCTGTAATTTGGGCGATCCAACTCGAAGCCATCCTAAACTCAGTTTGAAAAAAATAAGACTTAGGTTGTGATTACGTCTAAATAATAATGCGGTAATTGTAGCATAGTTTTAGGGTGTCGATTCCATAGAGAGACAAATTAAAAGAATAATAAAAAAAACTAAAAAACTAAAAATAATATGATTACTAGAGAAAAAAGATTAATTTTAAATGCAACTTAAAGTGAAACAAAGTGACTAATGGAAAAAGTATTTAAATTTAACAAACAGTAAAGTATCGGGAATCCCTTGCACAAATCTGGTATTTTAATTATTCTTAATTCATTAAATAACTCAATTGAGAATTTAATTCCCAAAATTCTGAACCGGAAGATATAGATTTATAAAACAAAATTAAACCAAATGTAACCCTTTGAAAAATTATTCACCACTTTTAAAATACTTAAATTATTATTACTATTGAGAAAATTTAACGACGATAATATACTCAAAAAGTAATATTACAGCAAAGAATTAAATCAATATAGATAAATAATTGATCCAATCATAATCAAAGAGCTAAGCTTGACTAAATCCATAAATAAAATAAATTATATGACTATTTAGAGAAAAAAATATCNAAAAAATAAGACTTAGGTTGTGATTACGTCTAAATAATAATGCGGTAATTGTAGCACAGTTTTAGGGTGTCGATTCCATAGAGAGACAAATTAAAAGAATAATAAAAGAAACAAAAAAACTAAAAATAATATGATTACTAGAGAACAAAGATTAATTTTAAATGTAACTTAAAGTGAAACAAAGTGACTAATGGAAAAAGTATTTAAATTTAACAAACAGTAAAATATCGGGCATTCCTTGCACAAATCTGGTATTTTAATTATTCTTAATTTATTAAATAACTCAATTGAGAATTTAATTCCCAAAATTCTCAACCGGAAGATATAGATTTATAAAACAAAATTAAACCAAATGTAACCCTTTGACAAATTATTCACCACTTTTAAAATACGTAAATTATTATTACTATTGAGAAAATTTAACGACGATAATATACTCAAAAAGTAATATTGCAGCAAAGAATTAAATCAATATAGATAAATAATTGATCTAATCATAATCAAATAGCTAAGTTTGACTAAATCCATAAATAAAATAAATTATATGACTATTTAGAGAAAAAAATATCAACAATAAATTGAGAATGATAAAAATAAAAGCGTTTTATTAATTAGAATTCAAATGTATAAATTAAAAATAAATAAAATATTATTTATTATACAAGTTCATCCCTTATCCTACCTGAGAATTTAATTACCCATAAATATAACTGACATCAAAAATCTCTAAAAAAAAATAGATCAAATCGGCCACTATCGGAGGTTTTCTTCTCTCCTGATCTGCGTCCGCTTTCGGCCCCAAGAAGCAGCCGCCTCTGTCTGCCTTTTTTTTCTTCCAGCCGCCGCACACCAAAGAAAAGAAAAAGCAAGGGTTCTTTTAAAAGTCAATACCATTTTTGAAAAATACCTTTTCCTCCCTCTCTCTTTTCCAATTTTTCTATTTCAGCTCTTAAAGTTCAAACCTTTTTTACTTTAGCCCCTAAAACTCAAATCTTGTGTAATTTGATAAAGATAAAGCCCAATAAAAATTATAAGTGTCGGGCTCACGTGACAACAACATCAGTTTCAGCCTTTTTACTCCATGGGCTGCCATAAAAATAAAAATAAACAATTATAAAAGTCTAACAAAAAAATCCCAAAAAATGTTTAAGTGTAACGCTCAATTATAAATTATCTCTCACCAACCCATAATACAATATTTAAGATTTAAAATTTTATACAATCATGCTCAAATATATCTTAGTGTAAATAGATATTAAATTCAATAATATAAATCATATGTAATTATTTCTATTCACGTTTTAGCATTTTAATCCAATAATAGGGTATTTAGAATGCACTTTTGCGCACTCATCACATCCCCCAATTTACTCATTGCTAGTCCCTAAAAATTTTCACACCGAAATAATGAAAGAAAACAAAGAAAATCACACTCACAAGCCACCAAGTCACATTTTCTAGGTTCACATACCAAAACAATTTTAGGAATTCAATAACTCACATCACAAGCAATCCACCTGAAGAAATCTACAGAGTATGTGTGTTTCACTACTATATCCATCTAACTAGAAGCCCTGACACACGCAACATCAAGAACATCTCAAGCGAAAGGTTCAACTCCATAACTCACGGGTATAAAAGTGTTTCGTGTAGAGATTCTCTCTATAGAATTGACAATGGGTGTGCACACACTCTCACGGGGAATTAGGCAATTTTGTACAATCAACAAGTAAACATTGATTTTTTTGATAGGAATACTACCAATGAGACTTTCACCACGTTTTCTTAAAAGCTTACTTAGGATCAGAACGATCAACACAAAAGATTGTAATGGGCTTAAGTTTGAGGCTATATAAAAAAAAATTAAAATGATTCAAAAACTTCCAAATACATACAAATGGAATCTTGTTAAATCTCTCAATAAACCATATTTCTCACTTGATCTAATCTTGAGTCTTTCAAGTCATCGAATAATGCCTCTTTTTTCTTTTTTCTTTTTTTCTTTTTTTTCTTTTTTTTTAGAAACAATTTAGTGAAAAATTATGTCACCATGTTATTTTGCTATTTCTAACCAGCCTTGTTTTTTTTTTTTTTTTTGCTCAATCACTTGAATACCTTATAACTCATGTTCTTCCCTTTTCTCTCTCTGTCTCTTTTTTTTTTCCAAAAAGAATTCCACATCTAGTACACACTTGGAAGTAACAAGGGTAGGAAAAATCAGTGTATAGGTTATACTCCAATATGAAGAGGTATGGATAATGTAGGCATATAAAAAGAAAAAATTACATGTGTTTATTGGCTCAAAGTTGGCTACTAAGGGTCTATGGTGGAAAGGGTTAGCTTGACAGGCTCAAACGTTGATCTTTGTCATTTTTCAAGTATATCCACCATCTTACCACAAACCATGTAATGATATTCTCAAAAGAAGTACCCAGTTCAACAGATCAATGAACGCTTATCATAATTTACTGCATTTGTAGACTCTCAATCCTTTTCAAAACTTACATGAATACTTAAGTAAAAGAGTTCTCTAGCTACATGTGTCAAACCACCATCTTACCACAAAGCTTGGATGAGTGCATTAGGGGTTCTGTGAATGCTTTAGTTAAAAATGATTATGGTGGTTTGGAGAATTCACAAAGATGGCTATGAATGTGTAAAACCCGAAAAAAAAAATTATTATTATTATTATTATTAAAAATCCTAATAAAAGGGGTAAAATAATAATTAATTGTTAAATTATGGGTCAAAAACATAAATTTTAAAAATAATAATAATAATAATAAATTTATACTATATATATATATAAGTGGAAGACTTTGTCTTCTACTTTTTATTTCTTCTCCAGCTAGCGAGACAGAGAGAGTGAGAGAAAAAAAAATGAGTTTTTTTAATTTTTTTTCTCTTTTCTTCCTTCTTAGATCTACAAAAATTTAACCGTTTAATTGCTTCGGGCCAAGAACTAAAGTTGCTCTACTCAGTGAGAGCTACACAACCACACCAAATATCGTATTTTTCTCCGAAGGAATATCAAATCAGATAATCTAGGCCTAAAACTTAGGAAGCTAAATTTGGGCTTCCTTGGCGTTCTAGTAAGTGGTCTCACGCTACGAGAGGTAGGGTTTCCCCTATTTAGATTTAATTTTAACTTAAAATATGACATATGGAATGAGTAGATTATGAGTGTATATCACATGTTAGGTCTTGACTAGTGTGACTAGTGGGTCAAATATAGAATTTATAATTAATCTTGTGATTAATAAAATTCTATTGTGATTAACTTGGTGTAAGTTAATGTTAGTGGTTTAAAGCATGTTAATTGTATGTTAGCATTATTTTATATTTTAATGACAGATCAAGTTTAATAAAGTTATTAACTTGTTATATGATTTTGAAATAATATATATATGTTAAATGATTATTTAATATATGATTATTTTGGTGGACTTGTGCTTATGTTAAACATGTTGTCATGTTGCAAGTCATAGCATGCTAGTTGTGTAAATTGATGTGCTCTTTAGGTGTTTGATTAAATGCCTAGGTGAATACAAGTATGTTAGTTGAGTTGATTATCTTACATAACATGCTTGAGATCGTGTTAAAATGTCATTATATTGTATTCATTATGTAATAGACATTGTATTTCATTATGCATGAGTTGCACTACATTCATGAGCA